CCTCTCTTCCTCGAGGATTAATAGCCGAGCGGACCTTCGGAAAACCTGAATACAAGTACTCGCGCTGCCGACAATGATCGATCGCCCCCCCCCCTCCTCTCTCTCTTACAATATTTGCTTCTACATATATATGCGTGCATGTGAACCACCACCACCTCTGTTGCTAACTACCTCCATTATACCGTGTACTCTACTTCTTTCGTTTCCACTCTCGCGCCCTTTGGTGAATAGTCGACTGCTCTTGGAAATATTATACGTATAGGTACATGTACAAAGGTACTCACGTGATCGTCGAATTCGTACCCCCTCGTTGTATTAATTATTGATACCCGCAGCTGTTGTGCGCCACAGCGAAGGCCCACCGTGTGAAAGTGATACATCGAACCTATACCGTGTGCCTATATTAGCTATGTCTGGATTTGACAAATGGTGTTCACGGTAGAGTATAGAGCATAAGGTGGGGAGTGGAATGAAGTGAACGATTCCTTCGATTGTACGTATGGTTGTTGAAGATTTGCCAAAATTGTGTGTATGGAATGCTCGTGTCTGTGTTTCACATTGTTCTACCCTTGAATTTTCAAGTGAACAGCGCGAAAATGACCCCCAAACATGACATCAAATATCGCTAGTTTGGCAAAACCTCCAATACTTGACCTGAAACTTTGATGCCGCTCCGTTTATTCTCGTGTGCCAAAAAAAAAAAAAAAAAAATGAAAAAACCGTGTAGAAATTAAATAACACACACGTAAGGCCAAAAAATGTCTGTTTAGCCCCGGTTTTACCGTCCAAAGGTCTCGTATGAAATATATTAGATTGTACCTTTGTACTGAACTCAAGGTTGTTTCCAGCAGTTGAGCTATGCGGCTGTTGGAGTCCGGTGACTGTAGCAGTTATAGTATAAGCAATAGGGTGCGGTGACAGAGAGCGGAGTGAAATCGCGACCGGCCGTGCGAATTGCGAAAAAAAAAAAAAAAACAAACAAAAAAAAAACTACAGCAACGCCATGGACACTGTTCGAGTCGGAGAAACGCCAGCGTTCCCGAAACGAAGGGAAACAGGCGATTTGTCAACGCTACAAGTATTGCCGGAATCAAATCGCCGCAGCTGCAGGGACACACGTGATTATCTCTGCGGACACTACATCGCATAGGTGTGTTTTAGAAAGGACCGATACAACCACATTCCGTGATGTATTAAATTTGCCTCCTATATATTATTTAGTACTGGCCACAATAGCAGTAATAATTTATTGTAGTTTACCATTCGATGTTGTACAGGTTGGATTAAAAAGTGCCGATTTATCGATCATATTATATTTTGACCGGTATAAATTAAAATACATTGTATTAATCCAATGTGGCAATCAATTCTGTTTGAGTATTCTGTCACAATGTATAACCCCTCGGTAATAAAACTAATGAAAAAGGCATTTTTGGCGATCGCGGGTCTACCAAGAAATAAAGGCAGTACGAGGAACTCGAAATTGATTGCACAGTTAACCAACTGTATGTGGCTTTAGTTGTTCGAGCCCGCAGGGCTTATCTCGTTCTCGCTCGTCGGACCCAAACTACTGTGGGCATTGGACTCGTTATATATGGTGGCGCCTATTATGTTCTCTCGTTTCTGTAATACCTACACGAAATGACGCTTCATCTAAATTTTACAGGGACACTTTAGTATGGGAAGATTCTAGTTTGTACCCGTTGCATCTGTCTTTTTTCTTGACTATACTCCCTCGTATCCATCTTTTAATTCCGTGCCTTTTATCATCATCATCATCATCGTTAGTCAGCAGACGGACGCACAACCGGTATACCAACACACATTTTTCAATCTCATGGAGATAAAAACGTGTAGTTCAATTGGCTCTTCATAAAACATGATTATGTAAAACTGGACGTGCAGCCTGTATACACAGCTTGTTCCCCCTTGTATAGAGGTACGTCCGCTTCGTGTAGTTTTTTCACTGCCGATCTACCAATGGCACCGAGTTTGAAAACGAGTTTGAAACGAGGACAAGATGAAATGCGAAATCGTTGTACACACGTGCGAGTGGCATCAGTAGCGAACCCACTGCAACGATCTGTGATGACTACCAAAACACTAACTATCCCAGCTCGCGCGTACATGAGAGTCAGGATCGATGACGCGAGGCAAGGACGATCGACCCGGTAAGAAAAACCGCAGGGACGGAAGAGAGCTCGGATTTTCCCGGCTAATGGCTCATAACAGCAGCTTCAACCCTGGTTTCTCCTCGTCTCCATACCCCGTCCGTCTACTTTGCCGGGAGGATTAGGGCTGCGCCCTCGCGGTTATCGTGCACCATCGCTATGGAGTGTAGCAGCGCCACTAGCGACCTCCTCGAGTCCCGATCAATACACCCCGGCTTGGTGCAACCCCCCAGCTGTGTGTGGTTTATTGTTATACGGTTCCGAGTGACTCTCGAGGCTCCGACGAACCCCGAAAATTTGTACCGCCTCGATCGTTAAACCGATGATCGACAACAGTCTCGCCGGATATGCTGTTCGCAATTATACAATGCTCCGAGTGAGGCGAAAAAAAAAATGGCCAAACGAGTATACTTTTTAACGTCACATTCCAAAATTATGACATTTGGGATACCCGCATTGGGCACGTTTGCGGTCGCGAGTAGTAGTTTTGCTCTGCTCCCGTTTTCTCGAAACAGTGACCGCCGCGTAAAAACGTCGTCGTCGCAACGGCCCGACCTTGGCCGAAGAAGATTAAAAGCTGGCCAAACTTCAAGTCGACATATATACATGAAATGTGCTCTCGGTTGGGATATTTTTACACACCGTTTGAGCAACACTACAGGGCGCGCCTTACAATTTTCATTCACCAAAGTGGATTCCGATGCGTGGAATATAATATAAATATGTGCCCTCTCGCGGAATGATGGGTCTATAACAGAGCCATATCGCACCTTGAGCGTCTGCCAAAAACAATGCTTCATTGGCTCCGAAATTTCGTAAGAAGTGGTCGAAAAATAACTTCAAGTTCCGTACACGCCGATACTTTGTACATGATAGAAACGTGTGTTGTACTTTGCCCGAGCATCTGTTCTATATATACTGTACGGCAATTTGTTTGACGTGAAGTGCCGAGTAATGCCCCCACAGCCCAGCCGGCCAGTACTGAACTTTTGATCGCATTAACACCGTTCGCTTTTACTTGCCTATTATGTAAATTCGCGCCCGTGCATGTAGTATGTGCCCACACGTAATGTAATATATTATGCACACACGTGGCGCACGTCGCTCCTCAAAGCCGTACATATGTATATATACGGCCCCCGGGCCTCAGCAAGCCGGAAACCATTGGTGTAATGTATGCACGCCCGACACGAGCCATACGGCTCTCCGTACATTTTGTTGGGCGACTTCCGTGAGCTGGTTTATATGTATGTATATAAGTAGCGGCAGTGACAGCCTCGTTGCTTCCTCTCTCTCTCTCTCTCTGCGTGCTCGACGCTGCAATTATCGAACTCCCGTGCATTCATTGGAGGTATCCGTCTATATTACTACGGCATACGAACTTTACTTTTTTTTTTTTTTTTTTCGACTGCTGCTCGTCCTCTGTTTGCTCTTTTCAAGTTGCACGGGGGGGGGGGGGGAGAAAAGTTTCTTGGACGAATTGTGGTGAAATGAAACTGGCAAGTGGTGTATATACGGCCTTCGCGGGTTTCGAGCGTTTCAAATGGCCTCTTTATAGCCCCTTTAAAAATGCAATCTTTGAATCCAAGGAAGTGAGGCTGGGGGAGGGTAATAACTTGTACGGCTACTGTTTCAGTGCCGGCGTTGCAAAGAAATTGTCGACGTTTTGTATAGCTCCGGCTATAAAAATATAGGTATCAGTTTATGAACGAATAGATTAACACTGGGAGCTCGACACATAACTAGTGCATAAATATGTACTTGACTATGCGATTTGGAAAATTTTTCAAACCCCTTTGTGGCCCTAATAAACAGTTTTATTTTCTTATTAAGGTAAAATTTGAACGGATCGACAAATATACCGTCACGTGGTAAATAATAATGCCCACGTTGATAATTACAACTATGCTCAATGTATTTTTTGCTTAAAAAGTCTATGTGCGGTGTCATGGTAAATTATTGATTTAAATTTTGTTAAGAGAAAAAAAGACTTACTGTGCGAACGCAATTTGACCCTATCTGCAGTCGTTCGTCGTATCCTTTATACTCACATCAGGGAACGACTCATCACTGTTATCTTTTCAGCTGTATACGGTTTTTATCGATGACAAGATATGGTACACATCTAAAAGTTGTTGAAACTTGCCTATACTCATGGCGCGGCAGACCTATACGTGGCGCATCGCGAAACTATTCGCGACAGTCCATTCGATCCTTTAAACTGCTTACAAAACCACGCGACGCTTTGACAACATATTCGAAATAGCCTCCAAAGCGCGAGTAATATCCATCGGGTATTGTTCCCGAGGTCATTTTTTCGTGACGCGTGTTTTCGACGATTCAGCGCTTGTATCCAATACACCCGAACCCCGCGCATCGCGCCAAGTGGAAAATAAAAAAGCGAGCGTAAAATCCCATGGGGTTCCAATATCGCGCGGTCACTCGGAGAACAGCGAGTTTGCATACCGAGCACTTGAATACAGGCGTTTCAGACGGTCAAGCAGACACGCGCATACACATCACCATGTACAACGAGCATACGAAATGAAAAGCCACACTGCGCGTTATACCATTATAGTTATAAGAGTCTGGTGTGGCGTGCACGGAAGCCACGGGAAGCCATGATCGATCGCTGCTTGTGTATTCACGCGAGCACGCGAATCTCGCTTGAAAAGAGAGAAAAAAAAAAAAATAGCCCTCCTTCTCCCCAATATTTCGATAAACATCGATATCAACAAAGCCAACGTTAACATGAAAATATCGTTGCTTCTTTCGTACTCGTAAAACTTGATAAATGACCAAAGTGGCGTTTTATTTGTTTTGTTTCAGGTACTTCAGTAGTCTACATTGCGTGAACGGGGACGCCAGCCGGGTGGGCAGCGGCGGCGGAGGAGTCGGCGTGGGTATAGACAGCGGCTGCGGCAGCCGCGTGGCAACGAGGCTGTTGCGGATCCGCAGTCGGGGTAGCTCGGCCGGCCCCGGCAGCGGTGGCGGTGCCGGGAACGGCGTCGTGGTAACCGCCGAGGCCAACAGCCCCCAGAGCAGCCCGCGGGCCGGCAGTCCACGTAGACAGGCAGCCCAGCAGGCCCTCGAGGCGAGCAACGGCCCGGCGATCGTCGTCAACGGGCCCGGGGCCATTGCGTCCCCCCAATCCAATCACCACCACCACCACCAACACCACCACCACCACCACCACCACCATCACCCACAACAACAACAACAACAACAGCAACAACAACAACAACAACAACAACAACAACAACAACAGCAACAACAACAACAACAACAACAACAACAACAACAACAGCAACAACAACAACAGCAACCGCACCATCATCACCATCACCACCAGCACCAGCCGCCCAGTCACCACGGCCACGGGCTGTATCACGCGAGCGCCAATCCCCGGCACTCGAGGCAAAAGGTGTCCATTTCGAAGCAGTGCGCCGATCACCGCCACAACCCCACGCGCTCGCAGCACCGTACCTCCAACCGGGGCATGAGCATGGGCCAAAAAGTTTCAGGTGAGCGCCGTTTACTTTATACGTTTTGGTAATTGTATTATAAACAAATTGTGTGGTCGGACGTGTCAATGTGGGGAAACCATGTGGAAACAATAGGTGTGGCTTCGGTGGAGGTGAGGAACAATGGAGTGAGCGAAGATCGATCGTTATTAAGCCTGCCTCGGTCTCCCTGCAGCCCTCTTCCACTCCAATTCTTATTAGGCCGAGCAACAAACTCGTTTCTCATAATGAGATTTCGGTGTATTCGAGTGGCTTGGCACTGGGACTTTGTCACTCCTAATGACTCCCAAACCGCGGGATTTTACACGCTTTGCGGTCCTGGAATTAAAACTCGTTCGTGGGATTTTTACGCATCGATATTATCCTCGAGTTGTTTTAATCAAGACTTTGGTCTGAAAGTGACTATTTAACCACCACTGGTAGCTAAGATACGTAATCCATCGATTCCTCGTTTAAGGTAGTTGTACAGGTACCGCAAGAGTCATGAAACTTTTTGATTTGTGTAGTAGAACGATCTGGCAACGTCGCTTTGCGGTCATGTGTGTGTGCCTGTAAGTGTGTGTTCAGAGCATCATAGAAGGAGCACTTCGTTGATCAGCTGTAGCAAAAGGAGAAGCGTGTGTATCTTTTTTTTAGTTAATAAAATAGTCATGCCCAAAGAAAAAAATAAGAAGTTTTTTTGGAAAGGTGTAAGGGTAAGCGAGAAAGTATATAATGCACGAGTAACTAAAAATAATAAAGTTAAAAATAGGCTATTTAATTATTTAAAAAATAAATATTAAATATTTATTACATAAATATTAATTTATAACATGTTTATTTCATTTTTAAGTAATATATGGCAATAAAATTGTTTTGATGTTCTTTGTATATCAGTTCGTTTTATTATTTATATATTTATTTATCATATTTATTTAAAATATACGTCCTATAACAATAATTGAAAATCTATAAGAGAGATTGCAGTAATCAGGATTTACGAGCAATCATATGTACCTATTTACCTTTCAAACCGCGCGCGTAATATCAGATTATGCGGCGTTGCCATATTTTCAAATAGCGTCTCACAAATGCACGTTCTTCACGCTTTACTATTTAATTACTTTTCTCACAAGTACCCTTGGAAGGTTTTGAAAGCGAATATATAATTGTCATTTAATTATCTTTCTACTGTCCAAAGGGCATCAGAACCTATCCTATATTAGCAACGATATGAATGATAATATACAGGCAGCTCCGCGGTTTCCCATAAGACGCCATGTTGAATTGGCATGTAAACAAAAACTCAAAACATGCAAATAATTATGAATATCTCCCTTTATAGGTACCCTCGGGTCACAAAAATTTAGATTTCTTATTTTTATGCATTAATCTACCATCCTGCAAAATATCATAATTTTCTATCCTATATTTCAATTTGCTGTACAACTACCTTAATCATCGAGTAGTCGATTTTTATTGATGCTCCTTACATTTTTACTCCAGCTAAAATCATCTTTTTAATATATCTACTTGGGGTGAGGGTATAATCCGAGAGAAGTTTTTATGTCGCATGAATTATAAGTATAGACGCGAAGTAGATGAACTGATCTCAACTTGGTGTAGCTAACCAATAGTTGGACAATATATTACTTACGCGTCACGAATAAATCGGTGTATCCTGTGGGGGCCTTGATACGACGATTTTGTACAATCGGCGCGGTTAATTGCGCAGTTCCGAGAGAGCCGGCCGGCGTCGAGAATTTGCATCGCGAAATGTCGAGCATTCCCGCGAGGCCTGTGGAATCAAGCCGGACGAGGGGAATATATATATACGCGCACGGCGTTTCCATTCCGCGAATCTCGAAAATTCCGCGCGTTGTATAACTCGCCGTCCACCTGTCCTGCAGGTATATATATATATATATACATAGCCGCGTCTATATCTGTATACACACTTCAATTCTGCAGGAGGCAGACTGCGCGTACATGGAATGGCATTTACCGGATAGTTTTGTCATCCATCGGTATTTTCATTCCGTCTCATACTTTTACGGAAGACCTTTCATTTCTCACTTGTATATACCTACTTACTCCCGAGGAGTTGCGGAATCTTTGCTCAGTTTTTTTTTTTTTTTTTCATCCAGCTGTAGTAATTCTCCGTCAAATTTCGAATTCGTACTTTGCTCTAAGTTGCAGTCTTTTGTAACTCGTCAATAAAATCTGAGTCCAAGCCTACGTAGGTATGTTTAGTATTCGCTCCGAGCCGATGCAGAGGTTGCGCCCCCTCTAGCCAAAATCAGGCAACATTTCTTGCATGTAAACAAACGGTTTAGAACATATATACATACGTACAGCTGCTTGTGATTGGCACTTGGCAAGCTAGAGAGAGAACGACGATCCTCTCCTGCTGTCTTATTCAGCCAATCACAAGCAGCTATACGCATGTATATATGTTCTAAACCGTTTGTTTACATGCAAGAAATGTTGCCTCATTTTGGCTAGAGGGGGCGAAACCTCTGTATCGGCTCGGAGCGAATAGAGCAATCCACATACATTTCATCGAACATGACCTTTTATCCAAGTTATAGGGTCGAGTATTTCGAAGATCCAATGCATTGTAGGTACCTATTAATTAATTCCCTTTATAATTCGATGTTTGTGTGGCCGTATGCTTTTTAGTATATAAATCACGTAAAATTAAAAATTTTTTTTCAAACTTCATTTGTGATTTTCGACTTTTGTCAAGAACGTCCTACCGCCGGATACAACTAAGATATCCATAATAACATATACATGACTGACGGCTAGACATGATTTTTTTTTTTTTTTTTTCAATTCAGATGTCCTTAACCTTAACCGATGGCTCCGATTCAGTGCTTCGACATGCGTGATTTCGTTTCATATTGACCGTCACGTTACATTACTATTTATACATCTATGCATACCTTTTTTTCGACTGTCGATAAAACGCAACGTATGTGTGCAAGTTGGCGGAGGGGAGGGGTGGCGCCACTTGTCACTTTTAAATGAAGTCTTATGGAGTTGTTCGGCAAATCCGGCAGTGGTGGCCACGTCAACTAATTTTTTCCCATTCAACCTAACATGAAAAGTCCGGCAAAAAGGAGGCAGCACTGAACTTGCACACAGCGAATACATCTGTTCTCATGACGGTCACTCTCGAACGGTATCGACGGGATTCAGTGTATCGAAGACATCGAAGCACTGAATCAGACTCCTGAATCGAGCTCGTGTTGACCGTCACTGATTATTTAAGGCTCAATCGTTATGCGATGTATCGCAAGATATCGAAAAAGGTTAAGTTGACGTTATGTTACGATAGTTACTCGATAACTAGATTCCGTATCGAAGGACTGAATCCGGACCCTCAGTATTCCCTCGCAGAGCCTCAGACTTCAGTCAGTATAGTAAGTATAGATGAGTTGACAGAATAGACAGTCCATTTTGTATTTCGACCTTTGGCGTGGCCTAGCATATACTTATACACAACGAGTTAGAACAAGTCTGTAATCGATGGATATCGGTGACGAATTCATAGGTACCCAACTCACTTGCTCATTTATTGTTTTCTCCGCAGTTAGCCGTTGGCGAGTAGATAAGACGTATACTCAATATACTTAACTTGTTTTCTTTCAACGTTTCAGGTAACGTGAAAAACGTATCTCGCGACAGCAGCGGTGGCACTGTCAACGGGATCGGGGCCGGTGGTGGAACAGTGGCGTGCAAGTCACTCGGACCCCGTGAACTGGCTCAGGACTACTCGAAGCCGGCGCGTCTGGATGTCCTCTTGGACATGCCACCCGCTTCGCGGGAGACGCAAGTCAGCCACAGCTGGAACGCCGACGACAGGAGTTTGAATATCTTTGTCAAGGTACGTTGTACTTGTATCACTGGCAGATATATATATATATATATATATATATACCAAAGAAAAAAATAAGAAGTTTTTTTGGAAAGGTGTAAGGGTAAGCGAGAAAGTATATAATGCACGAGTAACTAAAAATAATAAAGTTAAAAATAGGCTATTTAATTATTTAAAAAATAAATAAACAAAGAAAAAAAAAATAAAAACACGTACGCGCATGAAATGTCAATAAGTACAAAGATCGCTGAAAAGTCGCTTATGCGTAACGCNTATATATATAGGTTATTACTTGCCTTTTTGTACAATATAGGACGATGACAAGCTGACGTTCCATCGGCATCCCGTGGCCCAGAGCACCGATTGCATACGAGGAAAGGTTGGCTACACGAAGGGTCTCCACGTGTGGGAACTGCACTGGAGTACGCGGCAGCGCGGTACCCATGCGGTCGTCGGCGTTGCCACGGCGGATGCGCCTCTGCACAGTGTGGGCTACCAGAGCCTCGTTGGCAATAACGACCAGAGTTGGGGTTGGGATCTCGGCCGAAACAAACTCTACCACGACTCGAAAAACACCAATGGGATCACTTACCCGACTCTCCTCAAGCCAGAGGAAAGCTTCGTCGTTCCTGACAAGTTCATGGGTGAGTCACATTAATTCATCTTCTTCCAGTGAACAATACTTTTTTTTTTTTTTTTTTTTTGTACTATAGATAGATTGGATGCGCTTCGTGCCCTCATTAAGAATATTTTCTATTGATATACACTTGGATGATTAGTTTTTATTACCGTCGTTAATATTTAACATATTGCGTTATGTCTAGTGTAAAGATGGTTCAATTAAATTGTAATTTTAATCCCACTTTGTGAATATGAAGAATGATCGTGTAGTTACGAAATAAATTGTTACAACTCGCGAATGTCATGTGAATCGTAACCACGTGATCTCAGCATGAATCAATCGCAAGAGACTTCATACAAAAATATTCTTCTTGTTAAAATAGGAATTCACCAATCCATTTGCTCGTGTAATATGCCAACTAATTGTCATTAACGTTTTAATTTCTTGCAGCTGTGCTTGATATGGACGAGGGCACACTTGCTTTCTGCGTAGAAAATCAGTACCTGGGTGTTGCATTCAGAGGCCTCAAAGGTAGAAAGTTGTATCCTATTGTGTCGGCAGTGTGGGGCCACTGTGAAATCACCATGAAGTACATTGGAGGCCTTGATCGTAAGTATACCAGTTTATTACTAACACTTAACATTAGTACAACTACTCTGTGTGGTACGTACACTTTCATGTATGCGTACACCCCTACTTTAGTTTTTGTGCTTTCTATGGTAGTTAATCTGCCTGTGTGTAGCAAGTTAGTGTGAGCTGATTAAAATTTTTATTGTAATTTCAGCCGAACCCCTGCCACTTATGGACTTGTGCCGGCGAGTTATCCGACAACGAATCGGCAAAGAGCAGCTGGAAAGCAAGATTAACTCGTTGCATCTCCCTTCATCGATGAAGACTTATCTTTTGTACCGTGACAGGAGGTAACCACAAATACTGTTTCTCAAAACACCGCACCGACTTAGATCACGACTAATATGAGATCGCGAGACGTCAACGAGCAGTGACCAAGCTATGAACCACAAAGCAACGCACACGGAGAGCTGCCAGACAAACTCCCACTCCTACCCTCAAACTTCCCCAGCCTCGTAAGCTATCGAGCAAGACCCACCGACAGCTGCGCTAGTGTCTCTCACCAAGTTTCTCTCGAGTACAGAGTGAAAAGAATGAAAGAAAGAAAGGAAAAAAAAGAAAAAAAAGGATTTTAAAAAATAAATAAACAAAGAAAAAAAAAATAAAAACACGTACGCGCATGAAATGTCAATAAGTACAAAGATCGCTGAAAAGTCGCTTATGCGTAACGCAAGCAGCTGATGAAGACAAGTAGCCTTGTCGACGAGTCTGTCGAGCTTTCTTTTCGTGATCTATACATCTCTTTTCGGTTCGGCTTGTTTTAGAGTTATGCGCAATCGTAGAAAATTATTAGCTTGTATCGTTGTTTTATGTTTTTAATGTGCGATTGAAATCGTGGATTCTTTATTCATTGTTGAGATTAGCGACCAGTGTCCAATGTCGCGAGTCCATTATTATTATTATTTTTTTTTTTTAATGTATTTTGGTGATTTTTGTTGAGATAAAAGTGTATGCTTATGGAAAAAAAAATAGTAATAATAAAGTGTAAAAATCACTTTCAGCGAACAATCGAACCAGGTGGAAAAAAGCAAGTGTAAAATTTTTATGTAAGAGAGACACGTCGTATGGCGATATCATTCGTTTGATCTTGGTGGTTGTTCAAGGTTGGCCAGTAAATTATTAGACTTAGTCGAGCCTGAAGACACCCGGTAGATCTACGGATAATTGTTTCCTCTGTCCAAGAATACAGGGCTTACACGCTCTAGTCCAGCACTGCATGTGAGTGAGGACTTTAGATGATTATTATTATTAAAATTATAACTATTAATACTGATGCAAGAAAGCAAGAAGATTCGTCAAGAGCTGAATAAAACTAGAGAGACATTTACTTTTAAGTGAAGCAATCACTAATTAATAATTTGAGAATGGAATGAAAAATGTGTGTATAATTATGAAAGCCAACAGAATGAACAGTCATACACCTTCCAATAGACTTGATTTTTAAATAATTTTTTAAGCAGTCTAGATCTAACCAGAGTTATGGTGGAGTGCGTGTACGATAGACGAGACGAATTTTCGAGATTAGTAGAGATTTTTTAATACTTTGTGGAAACAATGTATGGATAGCATGCTTTTTTTTTGTTTATTTTTGCGTCTTGCATGTATTATGAGTTGTGAATTTTTGGCGTTTATTTCATCGTCCTGTTGATGTTGAATTACGTATCCAAGTCTTAACAGTTATTAAAATGATTTAAGTGTACATAATCATATTTTTGAATAATGAATTCTTTTTGCGTATAAAAACCAGATAGAGATTATAGGGGAAATTCGAACTGAACAGAAAAATCATAAACACTGAGAACTGAGGTGTGAAAACGATGATGGTATTATGAGTTACGGTGACGTTTTATAATACTACGGTGATTTATCAATGATACAATTCATTGTAATATGGTACATAATTATCTCGTTTGCATGATGGCATATGATTGCTTTGTTTTCTTAATGTCGTTTAATTACGGTTTCATACGAGCCTTTCATCGTATTTGTAAGTTGTACATAAATATTTAATAACATTTGTCACCTTCATCAAGTATTATGTAAAAACGGACGTAAAAATAGTCGTAACATAATTTAATTTCGTGACAATGGTTACATAACATGATTTCACAAGAAAAAGAATGGAAAAAATGAACAATTTTACATCTGTTTCGAAACGGTGTGAAATCGCCGAAAAATTTTATCGTTTTCTCGCATTGAGTTTCTCTGTATTTATGATATTCCCTTATTTTTCTAACAGTTGTACAATTGATTATAAAACCTTTCAAAAATTTTGTCATGGCTATATTTATCTGTAGTCATTGTTTGATACTGCTCGTTTGTGTCGCGTGATAAAAGTTGTTTAATTTATGTTGTATAAATTGGTTGTTATTTTGCAATACTTGATAAAACTTAATAAACAGTGTCAAAATTTTTTACATGGATCTATGCTCTTTTAATGCTATGTTTTTTTAGGAGGTTAAACAGCAATTTCTTTTATATTAAAAATAATACCTTTCACCATTTTTCGTATTTTATATAAAAAATTTTAATGCATTTGATAAATGTTGGAAACTACTTGAGTTGTGTGATGTGATTTTATATAAGGCATAAAACAGATGTGTATTCTAAAGTTACTATATAAAGTCAAGCAAATGTGCGTGTGTGAACAGATTGAACGTGTGTTGAAAGTTATGTAGTGATAATATTTTACAAAAAATCCAAACCGACGCATGTAACGTTTTAAACATGCTGGACGGATGAAGTAGCATTAGCACATTGTAAATATTATTAATAACATAATATTATTATATCAATTGATAGTTTAATTGATTAAGCGATAACGTGTTAGTCGACATAATGTGGTTTCATTTTATACAATAGCTCTACCATCGATTGATCCGTTTTGGACCGTATGATTTTTGAGCTCGGATAACTTGTGTAAGCGTCTTGTGTAATATTGAAAATTTTGCTGCTTCCTTCTCCACGCAGGAGGAAAGGATAGCGGTATGTTGTGTGAAATATCGTGGTATGAAAAAAAAGAGAGGAGGAATAAAGAGACAAACGACCGAGAGAAAGATTGGAAATTCACATTGATTTTTCACATTTGTCATAATTTTTCAATAATCATAACTACCGACCAATAGTGGATTAATAAAAAAACTTTGAAAAATACATACCTACAAAGTGTTTTCCATAATATGCATTAGTTGAAAAAAAAAAAGAAGAAAAAATTCAAAAAACCACCATAATTCAATTTGTTCTTTCTCTACTTCGCTTCCTCTTTATCTCGTTTTGCTGCGAGACCTCCTCAACTCTTTGGCATACGTCCGTTATTTCTTTTTTTTTTATTCCGTCGAGCTGAACGAGTACCATCAATTTTGAGCTCCGAGCTCCTCGGTGCCTCGATCTTGGTCTTGCTTGGATAACCGTTTCTCCCACAATGGCCGGGGACAGTCGTCTCGCGTGAAAAACGCCGGCCAGTTATCTCAGGTAACCAGGAAACAAGCATGAAATAATAATATTCATAAGGAAACTAATCGATGATTAAATAACTTGGGAAAAAGAAAAAAAATTTTTTTTTTTTCGAAAGGTTCGATCAGTGCCATTCTCGCCAAGCGACCAACTCGCGCTTGGATCCAGTGAGTTCAGGTCGATGTGTGTTTGCCTCAAATAGTGAGCGACGAAACTGGCAATTTAATTCCTCTTCGTATCCAATTGAAATGAACTAAACTGAACTGAAAGTATAAAGACGAAGGCATCCTGACTCAAGCGTGTCTGACGCGAGTAAGGCCAGTGTTTCTGGAGCTTGTACATAGTAATACTTTTGTAACGATATCTAATGACATAACTACTGGCTGAAGGCACGAATTGTGCGCGACTTTTGTTCGTCACGCGAGAACAGGTGATTTACGAATGAATATTTGAGGACGAAAGAATGATATGTGCGTGTGAATGTGTGATGCCAGTGTTTAAAAAAGAAAAAAGGAAAAAAATGAAACAAAGATTGTTTGGTGCGCTTTGTTGGGCTTGGCTTTCGAAAATCGGAAAAAAAGTTTGTGTAAAAATAATATACGAACGACCAAGCGCGCCAAATTTAATTTTTATTGTATCGTACCCAGTAACTTTAAATGTCTTTTTAAAAGATTTTTTGTTTTATTTAGTTAACTAATTCGACCTCTGCATGCGAATTATAACATTTTTTAAAAACTTGCAATAAAGTACCTTACAAGGTTAACGAGATTGTCAATTTAAATTTGATTTATTTTGATATTTTGTAATTGCAGAGTTTAAATGTTCTTTTTTAAAAAAAATTATTTCACGCTCACACGAAAAATGTTATATACTATGATTAATAAATTAATAAATATCCGTGTGGAGCATTAAACTGCCAGGTTTTACTTTGACGTGCAAAAATGATATTTGTGCGTGTGACGAAAAGCTTTACGTGCGACAAGGATGCGCGACTCTTTTTTTTTGTTCCCCCCGTCAACGAAATTTGAGTACAATAAATGCATGGTTGTATTTGTTCTCCCTTTCATTTCGTACATTGTATTGAGTGATTTATGTAATTAGTTAAGTAAAGGGCAATAAAGATGCAAGAAAAAAAAAGCCAGGATCGTAAGGAGGGGGAATAAGGTTGACGTCGATTGTATGCCCAAAAATATAATTAAAGTGCCCATCGGTTGGACGATGATGGCTCCACAACTCTGATACATTTCTAAATGCGTTATGATTGTATGCCTTTGACTATGAATTCGTGTTTATAAGCCTGGACTATTATTATTATTTTTAATATAATTATAATGATTATTGCAACGAGCGATCTCACCTTTTTTTTATAATTTAAGTTAATAATTGCTGTATAGAAGGACGATGTGTAAGGAGCAATGGAGAATATATAAATACGTAATGCCTTAATGTTATGAACGATAATAACAATAGTGTTATGCAATTAGTCGAAAATAATTCGATACTGTCTCCATTATATCCTACGTTTTCGTTCGTGATTTCATATTTTTTATATTACATGTAATTATGATTCCAAGGGAGCGATGTGAGCTTGTAGGATAAAAAAAGTGAGTGTATGAATGCGCGAAGAAAAGTGTCTAAAATAGTTCAGGCTGGATGTCGATGTTTGTAGCGATAAAAACATGCAAAACAACGTATTGTAATTAAAAAAAATTGAGAAACCATTAATCACGTTTGTCTTTGATAATTTTAAAAATTCCCATCTTTACAAAGCAAGATTTTTTTTTCTTAACGTTATTAAAAATTATCCTTTGTATAGTAAAAAAAAAAAAAAAAAAAAAAAAAAAAAAAAAAAAAAATACAATAATATTCAAAATCTTTACACCCGTTTAAGCGATTTCCGACGATTTGCTCGGATTACTTGTATTCTTCTTCTTCCTCCCCATCCTCTACTTCGTCATCGACTAGTTTAGAGTCACTCGAGACCTCAAAATTACAATCCCTGTAGAGAACGTCGCAATCTTCGTTCCTGAGCCCTGCCTCTGCGGCATCTTCGACCAGCCGATCCCAGCCCGGCGTCGAGTCCTTCAGAGACTGTTGCACACTGTGACTGAAAATTGTTCCCAACGACTTATTTTTAATGAAAAACTCGATGTTTTATGAACCCGAGCGACTCACGTGAGGTACTTGGCCAAAACCTTGCCAAAGATCCCGAGGTCCTCGAGGAGCTTGCGGTTCTCAAAGCACAGCGTCCTCTGGATGCAGCGTATACGAGCGTCCTCTTTGAGGGCCGATTCCACCTCGGGAGTCTGCAACCAGTCAAAATGCCACTTACATTATGTACACCGACCAAAGACATTTAAATTATTGTATACCAAGTTCCGAAAGTTGGAGGAGGAGGCAAAGATGAGATCTCGTTTTTTCCGATGACTCGCCAGGACCTCGACCAGAGCGTCCTTGCGCTTGGCCGCGGCTATGGAATTCTGGATGACGGCGAACAGCAGGAGCAGACCGATGAAACTGACAATGACAAAGTGCTTGGCCGTCGGGACAAGGGACGCGTCGATCGACGGGCCCTGGGCCACGGGGTACGAGAAATAGCTCGGCTCGAACGGGTAGGCGTAGTGCTCGCTTCGAAATTCCGTCGTTGGCGGTGACGGCGGCGCCGGCGCGTATTGATTTCCTATGTATTATATGCGGTATAATATTATACATTACGCCCCCCCCCCCCCAAAAAAAACAAAAAAAAAAAACGAGTTTAAATATGTTTACTTACCGTAAGCAGGCGGCAGGTAGTAATTGGGCTGTGGGTGGGTGTTGGGTGCCGTCTGGGGCATGCGCGGGTAGGGCTCGTTGATCGGCATGAGTTCCGGTGGACTCGCGGGCCAGGGAGGCTCGATTTGCCTCTTTACCTCCGACACCGGCATCACCGGCTGGTGCTGCGTCGACGCGAGACTGCTGTTCATCGAATCGGTCACTTCGACGGCGATGGCTAGTGCAAAGGCGGCCAAAATCTGAAGCACCACCCGCGCCCTTTCCAAGACCATCGCTTACAACTTTCAAACTTTGTATCGGATGTTCTCTTCTGGGGTCCCCTAGTCATCGATTGACCCGATGACGGATGGTGTTTGACTTGTATTTTCTCCGGTACTGTTTGGCTTATAGGTTTGCCGATGGGAAAACAAAAAAAAAAAAATTTCTAGGACGCCCATGCAGGGGTTCACAAATGGGTGTATCGTCGTGGTCCGGCTACGAAACGAGAACTGACGGGCCCACGTTGACCAGCTCCCGGCAATCGTTCTCCTCCTTTGATTTATCCTCGCTGCAACTGGTAGAAAAAAAAAAAAAAAAAAAAAAAAAAAAAAATAGCGTCGCCCAGTGGACATTGCCATGCAGCGAGCATTCAGCACTCGCTTGGCTGGACGTTTTGACGAGTCCCCGATAACTGGAGCACCGCAGTTTAGCCATGCCCAATTACTTTTGCTGCAATTCGTATATATATTTATATTTATATATATTTTTGAACGATTGATGGAAATTTTTATCGTGCCTCTACACACGATGTGGCGTTGTTTGAGTTATATCGAGAGGTGGTGGTACAGAGGGGCGAGCAAAGAAAATAATCATGCAAATTGTCGAAGACGGCTTCCGCGATGATGGGAAAGAGCCGGCGCGCATTGGTGTATATACAGATGAAGAATATCATCAATAGCCACACAGGGGGAGAGTGCGAGGGTGGATGGTACACGTGTATATACCATATACGGAACGCCGGTGGGGTTGCTATGGCGATGCAGCAGGGGGTGGGAGGGGACGTTGCCCGGGGGTTCGTCTGTCTGGAGCCTCTCCTGAAAGGGACGGCGTTGCTTTTTAGATTAGCCATCACCACGCGACCCTCCCCCCCTCTCTCTCTCTCGATCGCTCCTTGAATTTTTGTAGTCCGCGCGTGGACATATATACTTTTGTCAGCTGTGTCTCGTGTACTGTATATGGGGATGGCAGGTTGTAGGAAATGTGTTTGGGTGTGGAATATACTCTACGCTAAAAAATGGTGACAGGAAGACAAAATAATCCATTCCAAGAGAACCGCACGTTAACTTTCAACTTGCAATAAGAATTTTGATGTGGTTTTGTTTTTTTTTTTTTTTTTTTTTTTTTACGTTAAAATGGACAATCGATTCAATGATATTGTCTTTGTTAACAAGTAACAAATCGTTTGTAATTTCTTTTAGTTTTCCCTTTAAAATTATTATACGATGAAATAAAAACAAGCTTTTTAAACTTCGAAGGATGAAAATCGATCAAAGGACCCTCGAGATACGAGATGCTACTAGTTACGTACATGGATGCATTCTTCGCTCTTTTGTACCGTAAGAGAATAAAAAATGTAATAAATACCAATGCAAAGGTTTTAAGACGAGTCAAAAGTTGAAAGCCTGAACGATTAGGTTTACCTTTGACATCAACAAAAATACGATCGAGGTACAAATTTGCATGCGTATACGTCTCGATACTCTGTATGAAAAATATTTATTGAAATTAAAAAAAAAAAAAACATACCCCAAATCGTATAAGACATTAGGACGGGCATTCTTTACCCACTATGTAATCAATTCACCTAGTTTCACGGTTGAAAGCACGAGTTTCGAATTACACGAGTTTCTCGTGGATTCTACCAACTGAGCTGTGCCACGTAATCATTTATTAAACATAAAAGTATACGCATGGTTGAAATAAAATGATGATAATTTGATTTCAACTCTAAAATTATCCTCTACCGAATCGATCACTTTCCTACTCGAGATGAGATCCCAATCGGTGTACATGTAGTTAACGACGATGACGTGTGCGTATAGGTATATGGAGGCTCAGTATGTATATATGGGCCAGATAACTTTTTCCTCGATCGACGAAACGGCAAATTAATTTCCGGTATGCCGCGAGGTCATTCCGCGCAGTAAAAGCATCAGGCGCGGAGAGGAAAACACCCTCGCGTGCTTGGGCTCAACGTATAGAAGCGGGGATGAAAAAAAGAAAAAAAAAAAAAAAAAAAAATGTCAAACAAGCCTTTGAGGCATTCGCGCTCTGAAAAGCCGTGATGAGGAAAACACTGGCGCGTCATCTGTCAAACGCACGAGTCGAGGGACGCGTTCCTACACAGGAGTATTTTAATAATACAAGCTCGTATCGATGCTTGGGATATTTTCTCCAGCCTCCGTACAAAGGATGCTATGTTTGCTGGTATACACGCACGTATGGCCTATATATGTTTATATAATGTTATCAACGCTGGCGCTTTCGTAGCATCGACGTTGTCCTTTATATTCATCGCAACCAGGTCGGCCGACGCAGCGCAAAAGACGACCAACCATATGCATATACAGCACCGAGAGATGTTCAACCCGTGTATTTTTAACCCTCGTTATATCTCTCTCTCTCTCTGTAACTATATCCTTTTTTTCACCTACGCACATCATGATATCAAAGTTGCTGTCTGAGGTTTATTCGTTGATTTGGATTTTGAAGAGGAAAGAAAAAATATATTAATCTACATATCCATGTCTTTTTTTTTTTTTTTTTTTCTTTTTTAAACTGTCAACAATAGGTACTCTCCGGTACATCGGGCGTGTGTGCACCCACCCATTTACATTTTTTATTTTTATCAGTTCCCTTATGAACTAGTTTTTCCTCCTTTGTGAGCGTCGCGCCGAGGCTTTATAAATAAATGTTCCAGTTTTGACTCGAGAAACTATAAATGTACCTATAAAAACTGGAACACCTATTTGCAACACAGACGCTACGAATGAAAAAAAAAGGGTGGGGGGGTAAAATCAAACTGTACGTTATAAACCAGCCGTTAGAGTAATAGAGCACGATAATCCGCGACAATCTTACCCGGTGGACGAGCACAGAGTGTGGTTTTTACCGCATCCAGTGCGTGTATATGAAAAAAAAAAAAAAAACCCCAGAGAAAGGGAGCTCCGGGCAAGGAAGCGCCGTCACGGGCAATTTTATCGTGCAGAAAGCAAGTAGGCCGAATCGCGCGTTTCCACAATAATAATGCACATTTTCGACCTACATGTATTTATTGCCGAATGTATACCGACTTTCATTCACGAGTCCCCTTAGCGATGCATACACACTCATATACTCGTCGATTTCATAAAAAAAAAAAAGAAAAGAAAAGAAAAAAAAAGATATATTGTCTTTTACTCGATGTAGATATATAACGGAGGTAATCATCGACAGCTTGTACACGATAAGTAAGCGTAAACACCTGAAATCGCGGAGGCTACGACGACGGCGATGACCTATCGACCCTGGCCTTGGTGAACTAGTATAGGTAGCGGCTCAAGGCGCGGAGTCAGTGGGTATAGGTACATGTGTGGAAAGGGGAGGGAGTGGTGAGCTTTTCATGCCCATAAGCCATTCTCGCTAAGCCGTCGAGCTGTCGTTGTCACACCTCGTCGCTCGTCGTCCTGACAATGGAAAGTTACCTTCCTCGCTCCTCGAGTCGGGTATATAATATATTCATGGTAAGAGCAACATAGCCACGTATGAGCTTTGCGCTCTCGTTCGCACGATGGTGCTCCGGATGATTCGTTCTCGAGGACGTGGCTATTATAGTGAATTTATTTGTTATGAAATCGCGCGAATGATAATTCAATGAATATTACGCAAGATACGAAATCGCAAAGCTGCAGTCATGGTATCACATCACGTGCATTTTATAAATACATATGATATATCTAATGGATATAAAACCTATGGGTATATTGTTGATGAGCAGTAACAATTATTTTTCTGTAAATTGTTGTTACTATATGTATATATTGATGTATCAACTACAACCCTAACGGTTGTGCAAAGCAAGAATCAAAGTTCTAAAATGTTAGAATTATGTGTCGTCGCCAGATGATATATACACGTGTATGAACATCTTTGAAATGTCCCAAGTACAGTTGGCTTTGCTGTAGGATCTCCGAGGATCGGCAAACGCCGCGTGCGCAAAAAAAAAAAAAAAAAAAAAAAAAAACCTTTGACGTATGTATTTATATGTATAGGCACGAGGAAATCCCAAGCCTCCACGAGAGATCCCGTGTACAAGTGAGCAGACACACGTCGTGGGTCTTCGTAACCGCTCGGCGGCTCCTCGGCCCACCCTCGCGCGCCACCCCCGCGTCCAAAGGGAGGGTGGCAATAAGCGTATCGAACGAGTGCGCGCGCAGTAAGGGCGCCGGGCTTTGCCGTGTGTGTACATATATACATATATACGTACGAGGACGGATGACGATGGCTATGATGATGATGATGTGATACGCAAGTAACAGCAGTTTACCGAGCAGGAGCAGCCGCACCAGTACACCAGCGACAGCTCGCACCCCGTGGCTGTTGTTGTTGTTGTTCCTCCTCTCTTTGTAACTGTTGGTGTTTTTTATTATTATTATTATTATCATCATCATCATCACCGTTGTTGTTGTTACTGCATATGAGTTAAGCTGCCGAGCGCGTGTACTCTATAATATACTGCAGGAGCTTTCGGAGCTTGCGCCCCTCACCCGTGGACATACGTACAGAAACAAGCATCAGGACGGGCCGCAGGAGAGCGCGAGGCGAGTCCATAAAGCTCCTTTGGCGCCATTCACGCGAGTGCGAGGGTGTAGGCCCCTCTCTCGGCCACCCCCGATTTTTCGTCCCCCCTGAAGCCCAAGAAAACGAGGTTGCGTACCTTTCACCAGTGCAGTGGCCCACCCGAGTGCGCGGGAGGGTGGCGCGCTGGACAACGCAAGAGGCAGCAGCAGGGAATCGCCTACGGAGTATAGCGCGAGTGCATCGATCCGCAGCGCCATTTTACAGTGTCGCCCCTGCAGTGCCCTCCCCCGAGTAGTCGTCGTCTCGGCGTGCTAGTTGTACACTCGGGTTGTTTGTTTTTATTTTTTTCCCTCCCTCCGTCAGAGTATAAAACGGCTCGTATATCCCGGTAGTCATCGTACCGTGTACAGTTAAGTTGCAAAGCGTAGCACAGGAGGAGGAGGAGGAGGTGGTGCGGTAGCGCCGTACAAGGGTCGTAAACGGCAGCAGGCTGGGCGGACGACTGAGCGAGGTGGTGGGTCCCGTAGTGGAGGAGGCCGTCGAGCCAGGGGATGCGACCTCGGTGACGGGACCCCTGCGGGAGGCCTCGCTACCCGCCCGGGTCGTCCACCCGGTGGCCCTCGCGAGGCGCGCGAGCAGCCCCTCCCGGCCGCCGGCCCCCCTCGAGCGCCACCTCGTGCAAAGCCACCGCGAGAACATCCAGCCCGAGCAGCTGGCCCAGCAGCAGAGGCGCGCCAGCGACGGCCACGACAATAGGAGCATGGGTACCGTCCTGTCGTTCAGTCCGCGCGAGCGCCACGGCTCCACGGCCCTCTCGCCCACCAGCCCCTCCCGCCAGCCCCCCCTGCTCCAGGGCAACTTCACCCTCAACAACTTCAACTACGAGCACCTCAACAACGTCAAGAACAAGAGCACCGGGGGACTCGTCGCTTCAACCACCACCACCCAGAACAATCACCACCAACACCACAACCACCACAACCACCACAACAACCACAACAACCACAACAACAACAATAACAACAACAACCACAACAACAGCAACAACCACAACAACAGCAACAACAATGCCCTGAACATGAGCAGCGCCATCAACAACAACGACAGTGCGCGCATCATCTCCGAGAAGAACGCCCTCGAGAAGAACTTGAAGAAGAACTCGCTGATCATCGGGGCCCTCTCGTGGAAGAGGTTCAGCACCGTCAACAACAACAAGAAGAAGCAGCAGCAGCAGCAGCAGCAGCACCAACAGCTCGAAAACAAAAACAAGAACGCCAATAAGGCCCGGCAGCCCCTCGACAGTATACCCATCACCGACAAAAACAAGAACATTCAGACGCCCCAAGTGAGTCATCCAACTGTCATTGGTATACATTTTTTCAGTGCTTTTTGGTATATATATATATATATACTTGCTTGTGATGAGTACGGATGTATATACCTATATAGGTATGTCGTTTCGCGGTGCAGTCCATTCGCGAGTGAACACTCCTTTGCCCCTGTACTTACATACCTGTATGGTGAACACTCGTTTAACCATACCGATTTCCATTTCCAATCCTCTCTCTCTCTCTCTTATTTTCGTATCTGCAAACATATGGAGTGATGCACGTTGTTTATGAGTGATGGATGGCCGTGGATTAAAAAATTTCTTTGGAGTACGGTGATTCACTCCTTTTTTTTTTTTCTACGTATGTTTGTCAGTATGATTCGTGAGTCTGATTCCAAGTAACCGATGGCTCGTCGGGTCGCATATTAGCATTGACGATGCCAACCGAAAGACGTACCCCCCAGATGTACGTCTCGTGCGCCGACCTCGAATCGATAAAACAAACCCTATCGGTCTCATCCATGTCGCACGTACCGCGCGATCTTCTCCCATGTTGTACCATTTTTTTGTTGTTGTTTTTCGTTTTTTCATGCAAATTCAATCCATCGTATAGTGATATACCTTTTCATCCTGTTTTTTTTTTTTTTTTTTATACATATACCTCATCGATTACACTCAAACTGTTCCAAATTAATGTGTGTATATATGTATGCATACGCGTACAAAGTGTTGGTTATTGCAGCTAAAAAATGTAAATCTCTGCTGCACGTCATGTATACACATATTATATTATACTCTTTACCGGTTTTAAATTTAGTGGGTACTATACATGTATTGTTACTACGTGCATGCACATGTATGTCGAAATCTACAAAAAATATAATCGTTATTTAATGAAAGGAGAACATAAAAAATATAATTGTTTTGACCGGCACATCGCGAGTCAGGTATGCTTTGAAACAATCACTATTCAAAAGTCTTGAGTAAAAAAACTTTATGATGGTACGTCAGCTACGACCAATTAATGAAAACGTCCACAATTCCGAAGTATATATCGATGACTATTGTTGGTCAAGTTTTTTGAATTCCTGACCTTTCAAGAATTTTTCGGTGAACGTAATTGTCTAAACTCACAATCTATCTTGTAGCTATTTGATACAGATTTGTTTTTGGCCTACACACAGTTGTTTTGCGCACATCACTCTTTATATTGAACCAGAAAAAATATGTGCTAGGAAAAGTATTTGTGTGATGTAAAAATACATTACTGACAAATAATCGCACTACTTAATTATAAATCGTTTAAAAATAAATTGGAGTATAAGTACTCGCTTGTAGTGTTAATCGAAAGCATTCTAAAACAACTCTCATTTAAGCCAGTATAGTAAAGTCGAAAACATTAATTAGGTTCAAATTTGACGCGCGCTTCAAGTTCTCGAGAGCTCGTTTTAAGCGTTTTTTAATGCAGTTAAAAATATTAATTTTATCAAAAGGCCATAGGGGTAAACGGTACAGTTATTGACACCTTAAGGTAGTGATTGACCGCCACTTGCATTTTTAAATGGAGCCTTTATATATGGATATACAAATTATACAGGGGTCAATCACTACCTTAAGGTGTCAATAACTGTACCGTTTACCCCTACGAGTGATTTAACGTAAAGTTCGAAAGTAACTAAAAATCGCACTGCTTTCAAACGCTTTCTGAGTTTGAATTTAAAGAGTAAAATGATTATTCTTTTCTATGAGCAAAAATGTTAGTACGTACCGTTTTGTTAAGGTCAAAATAATGGAGAGGCTGTACAGCGAACTGAAATAGTTTTGATTAAGCGAATCATAATACTATTATAAAAATGTGTGAGTTTTGTCTCACGATTTTTTGTAGATTTCTATATTGTACATACGCGGCATGTGTTTAAAGTAAAGTGTAGTGATGTAAAATAATGTCGTAATGTAGTAAACGAAAAATTCAAGAGTGGTCATGTAAATAAGTATCGTTCGTTCAAAACCATAATCTTCTGTGATCGAATTGGTAATTTTCCCGCGTTTGCCAAATAAACTCGAATTATCGAAAAAAGCATGTTGACCGCGCAATTTTCCTGACTAACATAAAAAAGTACTCTTTTGCATCTGTTGCGAAGAAATCGGAGTAGAACATAAAAAACATTAGCTAAGTTCGACAATGACACTTGACATCATTTTTTCATAAATTCACGATTTCTCTATATATATAAAAAGCCCAACTCTAACCATTTCAATATTCAGCTTTCGGTTGAGTCAAAGATGATACGATTTCCTTCAATTTATTAGCTTCGGCTTGTAAACACTCGAAAAAAAAAAAATTTCATTAAACACTATTATCAAAGGCTGAAAGAAATACAACCGCGCGTTTGCAATATATTTCGCACATTACCATACGCATACGTATGATACCAACTATCCGTGTACACCTACGTACAGCTGTTGTGGCATGAATCAATTTGTTAATTTTGTATGTACTTATCACGTAGTTCACTGGAGTACTCGTATATAGGTATACCATGTAGATGTATATTATGTACTTGGATATTTTGTTATATTTTAGGTGACAGTATAGTATTTAGAGGTAGAACAGAAAGAAAAGGAAAAAAAAAGGTTGAACGTAAAATTGTCTTCCGTACATGCAAGTAGAACATCACGGTAGCGCCAGTAGGCAATAAAATAGCCAGACATGTGTATCCGTATTGATAAAGGGTGTGGTGAAGGGGGTAGGGGAGAAGTGAGGGATTTTGATTAGGAAAGACGAAAAATCTGTTGTTGGAATGACGCAGGTGTCGATGATCGGTCCTCTCAACACGTTTTATTCGTATAACCAGACGAAGGCGCCCACCTCGAACAACAACAACAACCAAGCGCCGCACAATCCCGGCTGCGAGAAGCTCGTCCAGAAGCCCCAGCCACCAACCTCGCGCAAGACCGTCATACAGGCCTCCACCTCGGAGCTGCTCAGGTGCCTCGGCGTCTACTTGCACTCCAAGTGCGTCAAGCTCAAGGACTTCCAAACGAACGACGCCGCACTATGGCTCAGGACCGTCGACCGCAGCCTGCTCCTCCAGGGCTGGCAGGTGAGTGCACGATCGCCCACAGATTTATCATTTTACATCCCTCTCGCACCCCACCCATACTTTTACCCAATACCTGTAAACACATATACATGTACAGCTTGTATACTTTTACATATTATGTACATTTCATCGATGCAACCATATACAATATCCATTTGCACTTGTCATTGTCAGCCGGTATATTTTACATCGTGTGTAATTTACACCCTTCGTCTTAGTCCCTTAAATTCGAAAATCCCATTTTGTGGGAGTATGGAAATTATATCAGTGTTGCAGTTTTAGTTGCGTCAACATCAAGTAATTTAATGTTATCGCTATATATAACATGATGAGTACATCATATTGTATGACGTGCATTATTCGTTGTACGAAAATTATATCGAAGAGTTGCGAAAAATCGTTAAAAAGTCGCATTAAGATAACATTACTTGTCATTACGAGGTTTGTCTACTGTGGCGTTTGAATTTGATTACGTGGCCAAATGGGAGGATTAACTCGTCGAAAATGAGTACCTCGTCATTTTGGTTGATTTAAAATTAATTAGTCACGCGAGTGTTGTATGACGAATAGAGTCAAGTTTTAGGGACAATTTGGTACATTATACGTCACTAGGGCACAAAGTACAAACATGAGCGCCCGAAGGGCACGCTTGCTGTAGGTTGATGCCCGAGTCGCGTATAATGTTTTTCTTACCGAGGGCGCAAAGTGCAATTTTGCGCCCGTGGGCACACTTTGCGCCCAGTAAATCACTTTGGGCCCTAGGGCAGAATAATATTTTGGGCCTGGAGGGCGCAAAGTATTACCCGAGGGCGCAAAGTGGCAGTTGTACTTTGGGCCCATGGTAAGAAATGGTAGTTTTCCTACGAGTTTGAAAAGTCTCTGTTTGCGAACCGAGAGGTTTGCGGCCCGAGCCGAAGGCGAGGGACCTAACGAGGTTCGTAAAGGAGACTTTTCGAACGAGTATCGGAAAACTGCTTTTTTGCCCGAGGAAGTACCAGCCTCCCAAAACCACTCGAGGGCGGAAAAATATATTTTTTTAGGTAATAAAGCAGAACAATTCTTATGTCTATATTACGATCAATTTAATAATAAAAAAAAAAAAAAAAAACCCACTCTAAAGTCTCCAATAATGAGATTTTTTTTTCGACTTACGCTTGAACTATAGAGGTGGCGTTATATTTCTAAAGCTTTATCATGCTTTCTCGTAATTTTTGCTTCAAAATTGAAAAATTGTTGAGCTCTTCTCGCCTTTGAAATGAAACAAATACTCAAGTATAAAATCAAACAAAAATCTTGGTAAACATCTTATCCAAGATATAATAAAGGTTTTTAAAAAATGTCTACCTATATGGTTTACTGTGTTTCACGAATTTTCTCGCCAAAATCTCCAAAGAGCGAAACGAGTCTAGTTTGGTGCCATGCGTACATTGTACTCAGCTAGACCGTATGCGCATGCAGCGGTATCTCGATAATGAAAATTCAAAGCTGATCCGAGCCATCAGCCATCGCGGTGCGCGAGAGAAAATGAAAATCATCCATCCGACGTGTCAAAATGTTGAGCGAGACGCATTACTTCGCGGGAGAAGCACGAGATGCGCTCTCTGCGGATTACAGCTATATCGTGTGGTGTGCATATGTGAGGAGAGACATTGATACGGTGTCGACCAGTCCCCCCCCCGCTTGTAATACGTTTTTCTGATGTGAAACAAATTATTGATGGAAAACTCTGATCTGCTCGTATAAATTATTCATTAGAGTTTAAAAGCCTTTGGCACGAAATAATTGACAAATCACGCAATTATATACATATGTTCTCCCACATTTCCATCGTATCCTTCAGAACAGTGGCTAATTACATTTCTGCAATTATTTTGACGGCACAGCTAATCCGTAAAGTTAACGGGCTCGAAATTCATTAAAGTTATTTGATTATTGCGAACAGGCCTGTCTTTATACATACTGTATGTATACGTATACCTTATACGAGTAGCATTGGAAGCGCGTTACTTTGAGGAGTTTGACAAGTATAAAAGTAAGAATGTTGGAAATAAGCTATAATAACTATTTAAGTGGCTTATGTGGATGATATTATTTTTATTGCATTCTTGCAATCTCACAAAACTTTGTAAAAGTTTCTATCAACATTGCTAGAAAAAAACAATGTTCTCACCTACATTTAAAGTATTTACCCACTCATCGTTCACTCTTTTTTTTTTTTTTTTTTTAGTCTACAGTTTTCCTTGGAGATAATTTTATTTTTGTTCTCATACCACTTCCTAGTAGAGACAAGTTTTTCGGACTCATAGTTGCAAGGATTTCTTCAACTACAAATGTTGTCATGAACTTTTGTGCTTTTTTTTGTGTCAAGCTGTTAAACATTATTTGATGATACATTAACTAATCCTATACTTATGTACTCTTACAAAGATGAAGCATTATTGAGTTCGAAGTAAAAAAAAAAGTTAGGTTTTATCCCACAAATCGTATGCGAATTGACGCTCAGTATGAAAGTTAGGTACAACTTCAAAAGCACCTATCTGACAGGCTCTACAATCTTTTTTTTAGTACACTTACTTAATATTTATATGGAATCGGGTGCTTGACTTACTGCTGTGTCTTCTTGGGATATCTGTACGTGAAAAAGTTAAAAAATAAGTTTCAAAAGGATTGAGATTGCATCAACACTACTGTGTACTTAAAAAACTGATGAGAATAAAGTTAAAAGTTCCTTATAGAAAAAAAATTGTTTTGGAATAAAATAAACTTTGATTATTTCTGATCCGTATGAATTAAAATATTTAAAAAAAAAGTCATCTCACAGTATAAAATTTTCCCACAATTGAGTTCGGTGCAAGACCATAACGTATATGTGAATGGTCGAATTTGACCGAATCGGGGGCAAAAGGTCAGGAGCATCTGTACATCGGGAAAACTGCGAGCAAAGTCACAATTTACCATCCACATAGCCACCTATCCTGTGTAAAACATGTAGAGTTAGGCGTACACAGGTATACAAGTAACCATTTTCCAGAACCAATTTCCAAAGCCCTTTTTTTTTCGCCCATCAATTCGAGCATCAGCTCCAATGCTCGAACGTATGTACGTCAAGCGCCAAGGCTGCACCGGATAAAAGTTGGCCGAGGGAGTTTTCATAAATATTTCAGCTCCGCGAGAGCTCCCCCCTCCCCCTACCTTGCCTCTTGGAATACATGCATTATTTAGGTCTCCCTCGTCGCGACGCGCTCTCTCCCTTAATCCGCCCCGACTACGGGGGGCTCTCCAATTAAACTCCGCAGAGCGTAGGAGAGAGGCTGGAGACATAGGGGGTGGCGGCAGACGATCGCCGCTGCGGCGCGCGAGCTATATATATATATATATACCACTGCTCCACGGGCGCGCTTTACGATGCAAGGGCACTTGGCCCCTTTCGCTTTATTATCTTGCAGTTCGAGTTTTGGGTTATTATTGCGAGCCAGTGTCGGCGCATGTATACATCGGTATAAAAGTTGAAAGCATCGAGCCGACGGCCCGCGTGACGGATTAATTAAATGCGCCTTTGCTAAAGCATCGAGGTCTTACCCCAGCGTGTTACTGTTTTTTTTTTTTTTTTTTTTTTTTTTTTTTCGTAAAATCTGTTACAGTCTATGGGAATATATATGTGTTTTTTTTCCTTCAAATATATATTGGCCTCTATAAGACGTCAAATGTTAAATCTCAATATCGGCAAGTACCCTCACTATATGTGCGTGGGTGTTTCATGTACGAAGCAAAATATTTGATTTCAGACTACTTGAAATGTTAATTACACGCTTTCTCCGGTTCTCGCTATACATAAACTTGGGGATTGATTTCATCTGAAAAAAGAAATAACGAAGTCTCATCCTCTGGAATAACGGTATACTTAAAAAAAAAAAAAAAATTTCTTTAGCCTCATTTCGAGTAAATTGTCCATTGGCCCCGAGAAAATCGTCAAGTACGAATGTTGGGCCAAATCGATTTTTCGCTCGGCAAATGTAAGGAATCAGTTCCTCTTGGGCGCCTCCGTCAAGTGACATCAATCCTTGGAGCTTTTTCAGGCTCCGTTGAAAAAGCCCCTCCTCGCACACCCGCCGAAGCGTGACGCATAAACATTAGATGCTTACAAGGAAAAGGGCGTGGAGCTGGCAATGGTGAACCGTTCCATCCGCGTGTATACTTACATGGGGTCGGGGGAGGAGCAAAGCACCGGGATATTGTAATATTATGCGAGCACACGCACTATTTTCGGGCAGAACTTTGTGGATGTGTAAACCCGCGGGTGTACCCTGGAGGGGCCGAATCGCAACTGCCGCTGACAAGCCTCGAATCGATTTTGACGCTCCTCTCCCCCCAAAGCGCACTTGTAACACTTGCACCGTACATGTATACGTGCACACGTATCACAAATGTTTCTCCCTCACTTTGGCTCTTTTATACACGATCTACTTTATTCTCGTGTTTTACGTATATACTTATATACATACATATCTTTTGAACTTGAGCCTATACGACACAGGCTGGGTATTAATTATACTTTCAAAGTTAATCATAAAGACTTTGAATTAAATTGCCGGCCGTGTACACGCTTGGCTCTGTATTAACGCTACATCAAGGGAAGTCCATGAGAAAGCTGTCGTGAGATATGAAAATTAAATAGTAGGTATACATATATTGTAAATAGGTGTGGCTCTGCAACGTTGCATGCTATACGCAGCCAAACAAGTGTATATACATACTCATCGCACAATAAATAATTTATATCGACTCTCGGGGAAAACAAAATCTCTCAAGTGCTTTGCAATTTTTATTATTCGTATGTTATTTGTTTTTACTTTCATCGAGTAAATGTACGCGGGTATGCGAGCACCTACACATCTATGTCTTTGTGAAAAAGATTGCGTTATCTCAGGTTTGAATTTTGTCAGAGTAATACTTATTGTCTCAGGTGTGAAAGGAAATTGATTTTGTTCATTTTTTTTTTT